ACTCAAGAGATTTGCAGCCTTCAGCAATATTTCTATATCTCTTTATGTGTTACTCAGATAGACTATTTTGCAGACTGTTCCAACTGACTCTAATGTCAGAAAGAACAACCAAACTGTATATTCAGCATACATCGAAATATGTGTAATTTATATAATAACTTATCCATGCCTGTACAATTGGTAAGTTCCTGCATAAACAGGAATAAATATATATATAGCTAATCTTGCTTCTTGGGTGTAGAAGTTACGCAGTACAAAGCCAGTAAGTCGTTTACAGTCAGATACAACCTTATTTGCATGATCGGAAAAGGTTAAATCTGAGTATGTTGTCCCGAGATCTGTGACTGTGTTCAGTTTCGAGAGGAGCTTACCGTACATATATAGACACATTCTCGGTTTCCAGCGTCCAAGGTGGGCTATACCGCACTTGTCTGGGTTGGAAGTCAGTTACCACTTTTCGCTCCAATCGCCCAGATTGTTTAAGTCATGTTGGATTTTGCTTTCGATGCTCATATCATCGTACCCGTAATCATATACTATCTTGAGATCACCTACAAAGAGGTATGGCTTGCCATACTTGATCATAGAGACTATGTCATTTATAAATAAGAGGAATAGAATAGGGCCAAGAACGCTACCCTGTATTACACCACTAGTTATCGGCTTTGATGAAGACAGCTGGTGGTTGATTTTTACTAATTGCTCTCTTTTTGTGAGAAAACAACTTATCCATTTGAGAAGTTTTCCGGTTATTCCGAAGGATTGGAGTTTTATTAGGAGCCTTGCTAACGTCGAGAAATAATGTTGTTACTGAACGCCCATTATCAATGCATTGTGTAATGTAATCAAAAGGAACTTTGTCAGCCTAGGGATCATAGTCTCCCATTGTATTTCCTTTATGAATGCATATATTAATGATACATTGCATTTACCTATTTCATTACACTTTAATGATTCACCTTTGCACCTTTACTTTTCTAAAACAGCTTACTATCCCTTGTAAACGTTGTACTTACCTCAATATTGGTTGGTTATCGTATGCCTACAACTACAGGTTGAAAACGAAATGAAGTCGATTTTCCTGCGCAACCTGGAGGACTACTGTTTAATTCAATAATGATACGACATGGGTCAGACAAAGAGTGTATTTATACATATATCAAATATTTAACTGTTCAAACATTACTAACTTGTAGACAATCTACTATTTGACATTGTATCATACTTGATCGTGCCTGTAAAAATGGCATGCATTTTCATGTAAATTTATGTTTATATGAAAATATAAAATTATTATTATTATTGATAAAATGATCCATGAGTATCCTCTATATACATGTTATTAGACTCATTTGGCGTCGACACTGTGTCAGCTATCTCCCGGGAAATATGCCTTGCCCTAGCTGTAGACTGTTCGCTATGCCAGCAAGGAACTGATCTGATATCATGCGTGCTATATGCATGATGCCAGGTGTTTCTGTTAACTGGCGCTGGTGAAAATCCTACCCGAAAGTATTACCGATATGAGTATTCGGTAATTTGTTGCCAGTATAAGGATGAAGTGTTGGTATCTGTTTCGGGTAGTCATCAGACCATAGCAAGTTTTGTGCAGAAATTGGCACATGCTCCCTACTAGATACATAAGATGTATGAGTGGGTTCTGTTGGTTTGCTAAATGTAGCCTGTGATCGATGTTTGGGGGACTTTCTATAACTGTCAGTTGGTAGAACATTAGGAGGTTGGCTAACAATGGGTTTACGTAATGGATGAGCAGAATAATACCTACTACCTCGCTGTGCTGTTTGTCTAGAATTAGTGGTTGGATATAACTGGCTTTCCACTTGACACCAATTAGGCCTACCCCTAGGAGCTAGGTCTACCATATTTGACTTTTTCTTAGAGTGATGGCTCAGAGGTGCTTTCGTCTCTATCATATCAAAAGGCTTTCTTAATCCGGGTTCAGTATTTAATTTATTTACTTCTTTTTCCCTTTTCCTATGATCAACTGGTTGATTATGGCTAACAGGGCAGCCAGCACATGCTATGTAGGGTTTCTGTTGTTTGGACACCTCATGCGCTTTAGTTTTCTTAATGGAAATGGGACGTTTGTCATAACGCCTAGAAAACTTGCTAACTTGAGTAGCTACGTTCGACTGGTACTTCACAGTGGATGAATTGTCAGACTGAGGAGTAAGTGACTTATAAGGGGATGGGTGGAACATTAGCGGGATGGGTTTTGATAGTTTCGGGCTCCTGACGTTTGTGTCAGTGTGAAAACGATGTATTTCAACATCATGTTCCGTTGACTCATCTATGTCCAGCATTTCAGTGTCAGCATCAGTGTCGTTATATAATACTTGGCTAATATTAGTTTGTGCCTGAGAAAATGTCTGATGCATGCGGTCATCAGGTATTTCACTGGACGGAATAACGCATGGAACATCAACTACAGTTGTCCTATTGGAGTTATCAGTATTCAGTGTTCCCGAGCGGCATCGTCTTTGGCATGGTGTTAAATCAGGTGCAGCCTTAATGCTAGTGTAGGGTGTTGAGGAGCCTATTATCTTACCAGCTTTCAGGAAATTCCTGGATTCTTCAATAGACCTGAACTTGAAAAGCACCGGACATGAGTGGTTTGCAGATTTCTTACGAAGACGCAAAACCTGACATTCTGTCAACGACATATTACAAGCCTTTAGACACGAAGTCTTAAGTTTGGCAATAGGCTCTCTGTCTGGAATGTTATACGCCAAGACGTTATGTGAAGACATAATCCTCTTAACAGCTTCTTCAGACAAATAGTCAATTATGCGCTCGGATTTGATAAGTGATTCAAGATAGATATTTGGCGATGGGTCACACAATTGCGTGAGGGGCATAATGCTGTCAAACTTGCTCTGTAGGTCTGCTATTGACTTTTGAAGTATCAGTAAATCGTTTTTGCTACAAGCCGCATTCTGTTTCAGTTCCTCCATGATATCCCATACCATAACTCGGGGTGTGTCTGGTGTCAAAAGTGTAGAATCGTCAACGGAGCTGAAGCCTTCAGATGGTTGACGAGTATCAGATCTCAGTCTCTTAACGGTACTTACACGTTTGATTGACTTAACCATTACAGACATAAGAATTTTCACAATTTCCGGACAAAAGTCTTGAGGATATAAAAAATGATAGCTGTATTATCGAAGTATCAAAACAACTACGATAAACAGATATATATTGCAAGATAAAAAGTCAGACTTTCCTTTAACAGTGCTTGCTGTGGATAAAATCCTGAGTTCCACGTGGTTAGAGAGGGTATCGGAAGATTCCGGGTTGTAGATTTCACGAGTGAATACTATATGTAGTTCCAGGTGACACAATACAATCCTTGTTAAATATAGATATGTGGATAATGTCAGGAAAGCGGCTAATTTCCAAAATAGTAAGGAAAGATGATTCACGCAAAAACTGAACACCTGTAGCGCGACAGTTCAAGTGGATGGTTGATCCGAACCAAAGTTAACTGCACAACCTGCACAAGGGACTGTTACTTCAACGAAAATTCTCGTTTATAAAAATTAGTCACCCAAACAGCTAAATAAGACATATCCCTCTGAACGAAAAGAAGATGCCGATGTCCCAAAGCAAGAATGTGAATCATAGAAAACGTGATTTTGCCGATAGGTCCGTCATTTTCCACAGAGTAGGCGAATCAAGTGAGTTAGACCTAAAAGAATGGTCCACACACCGCCTCGGTCAGATTAGACCTGATGAACATGTGAAACATTACTGTCAACAGCTTGCACAGAATTAGCAAATATACTGAGTATCTCAAAGGAAACTTAATGAGACTGCCTGAATGACCCTGATCTCTTTTTCCTGTTGGTATAAAATATCAGCAGTCCTTACAACCGTTGTGTGGCCATCTGTCTTTGCAAAATATGAGCTTTTGCTTCGCGACTGGGTGGCTACATATTTCAACCGACGCAACCTGCTGAACAGGCTGCTCTTGACGCCTCCCTATTGGTAGAGGGGGGATATAAGTCGTACGCGTGTTCGAGAATGTATTTAGTCAGTAACAGTATTGGCAGGATATGACAATGAGGAACCACAGCATAATGCGGCCATCCCTTCTCGCCCTTTCTAAACTCTGTTATCTCCTTTGGCCTCCATCATTACACGAACAAACTGATCGTCGAAGGTGAAGTGGTTGAAGCACAATCGAATCCACCGATTTCTTTGATCTCTTACAACTCTACAGATAGTCAGGCGTGGTGCATCTGAAAGACTACAAATTATTATCCACCTAATAACACGATTTTTGTGGAAATCATTAATTCCTGATGAACCTCATATCAGTGGAAAGCTGGATCAAGTGCACAGGTAGCAGGCGCATCATCGACGTTATTTGAAGGTTCCGGAAAAGCTTTCTTCAAAGTACCATTACAAGGCTGCTCTTGAAGTGGGAAAGCTTAGAGATCAAGGTGAGCCTGACCAACTGAATCAAGGGATTCCTTGTGGGTATAAGATAAATATTGATGATCAACTCAAAATTCCGGTACTGGACTATGGCAATCATGGGCGTGTTACATGGATGTGTACTAGGTCCTATCTTATTTATCAACAAACCATATCAACTTACGAAATCTCCTGTGGTTATTTACTCACACCGCAAGGAGATACCATAAATCTACTAGATTCGTCCAAAGAACTTATAACCACTAGCAACGTAAATAAGTGAGAGACTGAACACATAAGGTCACGCGTTTGTCACCGCGTCAAAAATAGAAGTATTGCCACTTCCACTATTTTAGGCGCACACAGATCTAAGTACGATAATGAGTCATGAATTAAGAATTACAACATGCTGCCACGTGGTCAAAGATCTAAGCCTCAGCTTTCTATCCCCGAATAAACATCTGAATATATTGGACATTGGATTTGTGACCTAGGAGTGTTTGGTTGTTCACAACCTTCGTTGTCGCGGTAAATATGTGTAAAATGTTCGGGTCAGACTAATGTCGTTTGCCCTGCTGAGAAAAGCCTTCGGCATCGGGAAGGCAGTCGATGAGAAGGAATTTGATGATTTCTTTAAAGTATTTGATGGGAGTGACGTCTTAAATGTCGGGTATGCACTTAGTGTCAAGTTTAGAGTTGTTTAAGTCACTTAAGCAAATTGTTAAAGAAAAAAGCTGTCCGGTTGTTAGTCCTGAAGAATGAAGACTCTGGTGTCATTTTTGACTCCTCCGCTCAAAAGGTAATTTTTGTTAGGAAGTATAATTCGTGTTTCAGGAGTCTGTCAAGTCAGTACCAATTCTGAATGTTGGAAGACAACAGTGTGACCTGAGAGACATGGCATTCGGTTCCTTTTCGTTAAATAGTAGGAAACCACTACTTTTCTCAACAAAAGTCCATGACATGAGGTAATCAAATTGTCGTTTTAATGAAATCCATAGTTCATCTGGTCAATTATTGTTTACAAGAGTCATCAGTGATATCGATGAGTGGTAAGTGCTGACTTACTGCGTGGTAATATTTTCAGGCGAAAATTATATCTGAGTAGTGGACAGAACCCATGGGTCAGGCGCGGAATATTTACTCTCGGAAACGTTGAGTTGGTAAGTTAGACTGCCTGAGTAATTTCACTTTAGTTGCAGAAACATGAAACAGGCAGCAATAGAAGCTTGGCTGTTTGCTTACTTATAAACCTAGAATGGTGTTCATCTACCAACGGCTTGTATGCAAGCAAAACACTTGTTGCGCAAAAGTCTCACAGTCGTCGGAACTTTCACCTTTTTAATTCCGATGTTAACAACCAAGCAGCTATGCAACCGTCTGTTGACAATTGTTTGAAGAATTCGCCATTCTCTCCAAGACGATTTTACCGTATGCTTTTTGAGCATTGGACTCAGCTAAGTTTGCTAGTTGAAACACTGACAAATGAATGTGCAGTGGCCGTATGTAATGGCACTCGCAGTTGCTGGGGGACGCACAACTTTGTACCAGAGCCGCACTGTACTGATGTCATAACAAAAGCCTTCAACAACTTTTTGGATTATTTCAGAGATTTGTGTCTGCCTAAATTATCTTTCCCTGTTTGGTCTACGTTAAATGTCACGTTATCGATTGGTTCGGATTCCTTACCATCTTACTTTGAACCATCTCGTACAGACTGTGTCGCTTATTGGCTGAATATGGATCCCAGTTATTGTCAGTCATTGTCCGCTGATTGCAGTCAAGCTTCTAAAGATAATCTTGCAGACATATTTGTAAGATCCTGCTTGGTACCGTTGATAATTAAAGGAAATAACAGAGATCATCGCAAGTAAGTAAATACTTACGTGTTTATATTTGCATACTCATCAATATATGGGATACAGTCAAACAATTCGAGTAGGATTTTTGTATGATTATAAATATTTATGATGTGGTTTTACTCAGAGGGTTGCAACACCGCAGGGATATATATATATACTTACGGCCAGTAGTTTAAATTTCTACATATAATTCTCTGAATGGTATAGCTGTTTGTTGCATTCATTTACAGTCAATAGAATTAATGGTTCACGAGGATAGATTTAACCAAGGAAGTTGGTTTCTGGAGAGTTTTTGTGGTTAATTGTCTCGAAAAATTGGTTTGGTGTAATCTAGATAAGCAAGTGCAAACTCTTTGAAGTGTGATAGTTTTTTTCTGTGTCCGACAGGCTGATTATCTCAAGTTAATCCTTATGTTTAGTGATGCCATTGGTTTTTGAGACTTTTAACCGTATAGTCCTGTGTATAATGTTTATAAAATTTTCCAGATTGTTGGAATTGTGCCATTGCTCTCACATTTCACAGATAATTTTCCAATGCGTAATGCCAATAGTGTCTTTCGATTAAGCATCTGAATTTTTGTTCCCTTTTTCTAAAAATAACTTCACTCGTATATTTCTGACTCACTTTATTAATTTTGTACGTAGACAAATTGATTGGGCGGTTTGTCAATGTTCTATTTGTAATCAAACTTGTTTCTGTCGAAGGTTGAAACTCTTGAAGGGAGATAGTCTCAGTAAACCTTTATGATGCAGTAATTTTACACGTATAAATTAATTCCTCAAATAATGTTGAGGTCGATTAATAGTAGTTTTACTGAAAAGTCTAGTGTTAACGTCTGGATTATCAGTTTTAATGTTGGTTAACTGTCATGTGTAACTGTTTATCCTCTTTACGGAAATCCCTTATTAACTGGTGCTGAAACTGCATAAATAAATACTAGCAATAAAAAGACCTCATTATAAATCATGGGGTTCGATTGTCGTTTTTATTTGGAGTTTCTAAAAACTTGTTTGTTTAAATGATATTTAATTCATTAATCTCCGGATGGAGATTATTCATGAATATTTAATTCCTCAATTCTCTGATGCACTTGGTCTCTGTCACCAGCAATTTGGTGGAGAGAAGGAGTAGGTTTCCTCATTCTCCATAACTCTTGTTAGACGGGTGCAGTCTTAATAAATGGTTATATGAAGATTAATTGAATACGTGAATATATTTATTGTATTTCGTTGAGAATAAAAAGGAGTGGAGACTAGTAGTAACGAAATCACACATGATTAGCACTATTGTTTCTGATCACTTCATCGGATGCACTCAGGTCTTAAATGCACTGACTTTTTGTTTTTAGCTTCCTGAGCCGTTTGCTCACTGGAGTTCTTATGTTCCATACTGGTTGGCTTGACGGTGTTTCGTCTAAAGGCTCACGTTCCAATTTGGTGAGTTTCTTTTTAATTGAATCACTGATTTCATGTATTTGCAACTGTCATACAGACGCCTAAAAGTTGTTTTTATGTTTTGGTTAGGGACAGCAGATTTGTGAGAAATTAGTCTATGTAGTTTGTCTTATTTGACACTACAATATGTGTTGTTACCTGGTCCTTAACTGACGGTTATTTACATCTACCTCCTCCTTTCCCATCGATCAATAAGGGAAATATTGTAAACTTGAATTTATCTATAGTCATCGAAATAGGCGTAATGTTACTGCTTGTTTTTTTTATATTTCTGAGTAGTTTAAACAACAGCATTTAATCTGTATGTGTTATATGGATACAGTGTTATTTCTGCTGTGCTGCTGTTTTGACGTTTATTATAATTTTTTAAAAATCTAGAATATTGAAATACCCAATATGCTTTAAGTCATGTGAATCATGATGTTTAAAATAGTGATAATGCGTAGTAAAAGTAAAGTTGACAGTGTTTATAGCAGTGAAAATAAGATCAGCACAAAATGCAATGAATCAGCCGTGCAATCAGCGAAAAGGAACGTGCCTATTGGCTGTTGGCGTCGATATTTGGTGATAATGGTTACTGATAACCACAACCCTGTGGGAATATGCAGGCTGTAATACTTATTGGAGATTTTATATAGTACTAGGAAGGTTAGCCACAGGGTAGGAAAACTGTGAAGGGAAGTTGTGTTAAACATCAATTATTGTAAAGTTGTGTGTGTGTGTGTGTTTGTGTGCTTTGAGGGAGAATTTGTACAATCTACCTACCTCTGTTCGTTGCATGAAATCCAGTGCCGAAAAACGCATATGTGAATAAAGTTTATTTTACTTAGACGTGTATTAGAATATCTAAGAGCACTTTTTAAATATGTTCCGACTGATTAATGCAGCCTAGCAGCAGCTTATTAGTAGAACCTTCGATTGTTATTTCGCCTAGTTAACTATAACATATATGTATGCATTTGAGTTAATTGTGCTTCTTATCACAGGGAAACACCAGTGAAAATTCATCTTCAAATAGTCAAAATGTACGGAGTAGTCTGCTGAATCAACTGCTTACACAAACAAGTTTCATACCGATTGGAACAGATGCAGTATGTGGAAGCATCTTCAATTGTACTGTAATTTCTGGTCAATCTCGTGCCTATCTAATGGCTTTACTGTATTTCGTGACATATTTTTTAAGATTTTTATGCTTAACTCATACACAAGAATGCGTCCCTGAACTTGGACAAGCTGATCTATTTGAATTGGAACAACAAAAACGACGAGTAAGTATTCATAGTTAACTTTTTAAAAAAAATCTTCTGTTCATTGGAATTGGTCACTGGTGGTGGTTGTTAGTCGAATTAGCTTTCTGTTTCTGTGTGTGTATATATATCGTTGTAATCATAAAGTTGAACGGCTGGATACTCCTAAATACTAGTATATAATTTTTTTGACGTTGACTGTTCTAAGGCGTGTCGGTAGACACCATCCTCCGTCAAACTGGGGATTGAATCCCGGACCAGGTGTGTGAGCATTCTACCATTGAACCACTGGCGTACATGCGTAACCCATTACAACGGTATTAGTTTGCCAATTCAACGTTATTTGAGACAGTCTCACCAACAATCTGTCAGTTATGTAGACTCTTCACCAGTAGTAGTCTGCTGGTAGCTAATACATTTTTCATTGCTCTTTTAATTTGTTTGCAAACTCCTAAACACTACAAAGGGATAATACATGATACCATATCACTTCGTACTGAATACACGAACAACACTGTTTCGCATAGATCTACATTGGTCACGCTTGTGTGTGTATGTGTGTATATTAAATACAAATTAATATAGGAAAAACAAATATTTTCAAGCGTTGATTTGTAGTCAAACTGACTACGGATTGATATCATTTGGAGTACCACTGATAACTAGAGAGTACTGGACAGCTGTTTCGTCAGCCTAGTTTGGGACTCATCATCAGTGTGCACCCATTATATCTAACTTGAACTAAGCAAAAAAGGATATATTCAGCAGGATAAACTATGACGTCATTGTCTTATTTCACTAGTTCTTCTCATATGAATATGAACGTTAAACAGAAATTTCAGTATCAATATATAAAATATTCAGAACAAAAATATTGCAAATATTTTACTTATTGGTCATAAAAGTGATGGATATTAATTAATTCCATGTGATTAAGTAGCATAATAGGAAGGAATAAGAGTAGAAAAAAATTTGCCTTTTATATATAAACCTCTGTTATGTTAATTTTGATTAATTTCCCTGAAGAAGTTCGGACCAGATTGCCGAACGAAACGTTGGAATTACTCATTTCAATATCGCTGAGATTTTACAAATATAATTTTTTACAAATAAGAATAGTTGTTAAACCCGTTGTTATGAGTAGGAATGAATAAGGAGTATTCTGGAATTATAAAAGAATGTTTCAAATTGTGAAGAGGTTGTGAATAGAGGTTAGAAAGGAGTCTAGTCAAGAGTGTATATCAGGTTGGGTGTGAGGACAATTACTCGCCAGTAGTGACATTGACTGATGCCAGTTGCGCCAAAATCATGAATTGGTAGAAGTTAGAATTCATAGGCTGGCCACTGAGTTGGGTCCCAGTGGCGACTGAGAGTGGTCTATGAGATTGTCTTGTAACCAGAAGGTCCAAAACCCCTGTGATGGATGCGTAATGCCAAATAGTTCCAATCCAAACTAGGCTGACGAAACAGGTGTCCAGTTACCCTATTCTGGTCTTCCAGTGGTTCTCTAACTAATGTCAGCTCATAATGAAATCCTGAAACAGGTCAAATCCCTACAAACCAACACTTGAATAGTAATCTCATTTTGTTTATTTTTGATGACCATATTATAAAGTTGCCCTTTGAACACGTCAAACCGTTTTGTATTCCTATCCTTTAATTTCACCTTCACCAGGAATAGTAGAGATGAATAGAGAATGTCAAACTAATTGTTATAAACATGAATACATTTCGTGTCCAGTAGATCCTGCCTCTTGTTATTGTCTTCATGAATTGCTGTAGTGAAGTTTTTTGAGATAACTCCTGAAAAAAATATTATACCGAAGAATGTGTATATATTAAGCGCTGTATCGTGGATGGGGGATTACACCGGTCTGGCTGAGTATTCAATTGTTTGTTTGGAGGGATTTGATTGGTTTCAATCTTGCTCATGAATCAAATTGAGTTAGAGAACCGTTGATAAACTCTGCTGGAGTATTAGACAACTGTTTCGTCCTTGCTTGGGACTCTTCATCTTCATACACCCATGACCTCACCGTGGGTCGAACCCCGGGGCCTCCAAGTTACAAGGCAAGCTCGTAGACCGATGAGCCACTGGGATTGAATCTAATGGCCTAATGAGTTCTAACTTCTGCCAGTTGTCACAGCAACACCCAGGCGTTGTCACCGATGAGTGTTTTCCCTCACACTCGACTTGGTGAACCCTACTGGTCACAAGTTCTCATTAGAATTTTAGACAACTTCATCGTGTATCTAGTCCATTAGTGAGCCGTAGACTGATTTTCAGTTCGTTATCATTCTTAAAATTACTCAAATTCCAGCAGCGAACCAACACATGAAAACTTAGACTTTGTCACTCATTAAGTTTGGTAGTATAAAAATCGATTTAGTTTAGGCACAGTTATCATACCTGATTTCGTTTTTTATTTTTCAGACTCGTTTAGGCGGTAAAGCCCGTCGTAAATCTGGTTCTGCAACGAGTAGTAGTTCAACCAATTGTGCTGCTGGTGATGCTCACGATTCCGGGATTAGTTCCCAAGAGGATTTAACATCTATGGTATACTCAGCCAGTACAGGATCATCTCCAACGCATGTTTCAGGCATGGCGTTATGCATGACACGTCGACTGACACGTGACCAGTGTCGAATGGCTGAAGCAGCCGCTCAGTTGATGGTGACTCGTGAAGCAGCAGCTGCGGCAGCCGCGGCCGCAGCAGCTACAAATATGTTCCAACAAAATGTGACTACTGGCCAGCCAACAAATTCGCTGATGTCAGTTGGCGAAACCCGGTGAGAATATATTATATGTGCTTTATTACTATTATTATCCGTACTACTTATATGCATGCAACTATATACTACTGATTAGTTGAGATGAGTAGTTGAACACTACCAATCAGATCATCGACGTGATCTGAACACAACAGGATGGCCGTTCCAATCGTTTGGCGTAGAGCTCATCGGCGGTGTACCCGGGCCGATTCAGCGCTGAGACTGCTAAATTAGTTCAATCTTTTTTTTTTTCTGACGTGATTCACCTCTCTGAGTTGATTGAAACCGGTTACACCGCTGTGATGAGCTAGACTCCCGAAACGAGCGGAATTGTCTTTCTAGTTGTTTTTAGATCATTTCGATCCGGCTAACAGACGGACACTACTACTGGTTGATGTGAGTGGTATACAACTACTCATATGAATCAATCAGTAGTATATAGTCCCATGTAATTATACTTGCCTTCTTGATTACCATTTATGGTATCAGACAGATCACATATTTTGTGATCCGAATATTTGCGGTAGGCAAAGGGAACTGTGAGTGTGAAATTCCACCTTTTCGAGCTGTGTAAATTGCGAATTAATTTGCATATTGTAAACCTAATTTATATGGTTATTATTATTATTATTCCATTGGGTTCCGAGTGGAACATGGGGCTTCAACAACACATCTCCACTTGGTTCTATTTGGTGCTATCCTCTTCAATTGGGTTCACCATTGCCCATCATCTCTCATCTGCTCCTCCTCGCCACACGATCTCCTCCATGTCACCCACTCGTTGCCTCTTATTGGTTGTCTACTCGAAAGATGGCGTGCATTGAGCAGCGCGATGTCATTCGACGGCCTTCTTAACGTATACCCGATCCATCTCCATTTTCTTCTACATATATTTGTTGAGCAATCGCCTCCAGTCAGAGTTTCTTGTTGCTAATTCTTTCTGACCGGCCATTTGATGTTTAATATAGAGCCAGCCAGCCAGTGAAGGAGGCAGGTGTTGATAAAAGTCTGCAGTAGCCTGTTAGAAATCCTCAACGTGACGTGCAGTGCAAGTTTCTGACCCATATGAAGAGCTGACTGACTAACTTGACATTTGTGTTGAACAGAATCCGAATCTTGTTTATGCTGGCTGGCTGGCTGAGTGAGTGCAGAAGATTTCCAAACTGGTTCACAGGTTGATATAAGCATATCTTGTCTTTCTAATTCTGCCTGGCTGACTTTGACATCTCCATCCATGCTGTTGCCTGTGGTTGAAACGGTGCTTCCTAGCCAGATAAGTGAAGGAAGTAACCTCTGTCAAATCTCTCCCGTTGATAATTTATATACTACTTATTTCTTTTTCTTAAAATAATATCTTCTCAACTGTGTTTTCACGTGATTTTACCGTAGGAGTCACTTGAAATTTATTTTTTTGTTTGGTTTTCTTCATTTCTCAGTGGAAACATTGAAGTGTCATTAAACTTGTCAAGTATACTTTAGAAAACAAAGTACTCTTGAGATTTCAGATGTTTGTTTGTCTCTTTACTTGTCATGGGTGTGAATTCTTCTCGACTTACCTCTCTGCCTGGGCAACTGGATAGTATCTTCGACATTAATACACCCTCTTCTTGGTTTAAGTCGCCTGACTGGTTTTTTTCACGGGTTTGTTTCTTCTGAGTAGCACTCAGTCTACGCATGATTATGGAATCTGGAATTTTGGATACTATGTTCATCGAGTACTACAGGAAGACTTGTCTCTTTTCTGTCGAGAAAATACATTGCACTGATCAAGGCACTCTACTCGAACTCATGCAGCCAGGTAGGGCTTACGGCGAGTTGTCATCTGAAGTGATCACGACTAGTGGTGTCCGTCAGGGATGCCCACTGTCTCCATTTCTGTTCAATTTCATCATAGATGTACTAATGGACTTAACCCTAACTCACTTCAGAGACTCAGGGATTGATTTGCTACCAGGGAATAATCTCGCTGACTTAGAATATGCAGACGATATAGTCCTTCTAGGTGAGGATGCTGACAAAATGCAGAGTCTTCTGAACACCTTGAGCTGCAATCTACGAATGTTTGGCATGCGATTCGCTCCCACCAAATGTAAGATGATGTTACAGGACTGGACTACACTGGGTCCTAGCTTAGAAATAGGGAGTGAAGTGGTAGAGCACGTTGACCACTTCACTTATTTGCACCGATGTGCAGCAGTTTTAGTCGCCACACTCCATGTAGCACACAAAGCAAGAGAAGAAAGTAAAAAGAAATGCAAAATAGAGACAGTAAACAGAGGTATGAGGCAAAAAGAATAGTAATATCGAAGAACAATATAGTTTCATTTGGGTATTATAAGTCACAAGGAGTGGATGCATCTGCACCAGCCAGCCATTGAGAACAATCACTTTGAGCCATATCACCATCCATTGTCTCCAGCCTTCATTGGTGTTTACCGTCCCGAGGACCCCAACCAGTCAGTCAGGAAGCCAGTCTACACCTTCCTACGTGTCTGGCTTAAACTAACTGTTGTGGATTTCATTGACTGATGAGGCCGTGTTTTGGTTTGACCACCACTAGCTCTCTCTTTTCCAACCTGATCAATCCTATATCAGTCAGCTAACATTGCTTGTTGTCGAAGAAGGCGATAGCTATTGGTGCACGCGTAACACATGTCCTAACCACTGCTGCTTCACAGTTGCGTCTATTGATTTCCCCTCCCATGTACCTAGCACTCGACGCTTAACCTCTATGTCGGTCAACCTATGATACCATCTTACACGTGAGATAGAACCTCAGACACCTATGATCAATAAAATACAGCTAGCCAGGCTTTTCACACGTCTTCCACTTTCAATGTCCATATCTCTCATAGTCATTCATAAAGGAGGACAGAGCGAACTGTTGACCAGTACACACCTCCTTTGATCGATAACCAACTGGATATCACATCTAGTAGTAAGTCAGAGATGGCGTAAGTCGGCAGGCAAATGCTGTGAACGTTAGGCTACCATCCATCCTACAACACAGTTGCCCTAACTATTAGTTTTTCTTTTGACAGCCTGTCGTTTCCCCCAATGAGTCTATAACGTTGTTGAAGCCTTTCTCTCATACTCTTTGCTTTGGTGGAAAGTTCTACATGGATTGAAAATTCAGTCATATAATAGAGAAGATTTGTAGCTCAGGTGGATGATTTTGGTGTGGTTGTGTTCTCTGAGCTGGATGGTTTGGTTGCGAAGCTTTCATTGCTCTACTGAGCAACATCTTCAGCGCATACTTCGATGTGAAGTGAGCTTTTAGAATTCTCTATGAGTTTATTAGTCATCTCTTCTAGTAACCCTGAACGTGATTGGTTGTTTTCGTGTGACATTTCACCCCCTAGTTTGCTTGTCTCGGTGCTGGCTGCTTCTTTGGTCTGAATGTCGTTAGTCATTCCTTCTGCTAACCTTGAACGTGATTGGTTGTTTTTGTGTGACTTCTCACTTTCTAGTTCACTTGTTTTGGTGTTGACTGTTTCCTTGACCTGAAGTTTGACTTTGTTTTTGTGTGAATTTCTTCGTATGGATTGGTATATTTTGTCAATCTCTATGTGTCTATTGATTGCTGATTCATTTGAATACCAGGCCTCTAGGAATTCTCTGGCATTTTTGCAGTTCCCTTTGTCTAAGATTTGAACATTGTCCCAGTCGAATTGGTGCCCGTGGTTGTCTGCATGTAGTGATATGAGGGAGTGTATGTCGTGTCTTTTGACAGCTAGTTTGTGTTCGTGAATGCGAAGACGAAGAGGGCGTCCACTTTGACCAATGTAATGTTTGTCGCAGTCGTTGCAACTTATCTTGTAGATGACGTTAGTTTTGTCTTCTTTTGCCGTTGAGTCCTTTGGTTTACATAGAACTGAGTGTAGTGACTTTGTTGGTTTATGAGCGACATCGATTCCAAAAGGTTTGAATAGTCTTGCAGTGATTTCGGAGATATCTTTTATATATGGTAGGACGACTTTCTTTGTGTTTTCGCTGGTGGCCTTTGATTTGGTTGGTTGAGCTGGGGGTAGATGTCTTTTGATGAAGTTTCGTGGGTATCCATTTCTTTGGAAGACGTCCATAAGATGATTTTCTTCAATTTTCCTCAAGGCGGGAGTGCTGCAATGAGTCCTGGCTCTCTTGAACAATGTACGTATGCAGCTAATTTTGTGTGATGTTGGGTTATTACTGTTGTAATTGAGTATTTGGTCCGTGTGCGTTGGTTTTCTGTATACTTGGGTTTCTAATTTTCCTCTAGTTGTTCGTTTGATTAAGATGTCTAAAAATGGGATTTTGTTTTCATATTCTTCTTCTCTTGTGAATTTGATGTCGTTGAAGGTGTTGTTTATTATGTTGCGGGTATTGTCTAAGTTTTCTCTTTTGATTATCACGAATGTATCATCTATGTAGCGTATCCAAATTTTCGGTTTGATCTTGAGAACACAACCACACCAAATTCAGTCATTCATTGTTACATGTGACAATTATTACCTATTTGGTGGTAAAATTTCATCATATTTTGTAGTCAGGTGTCCTTCGTCTATATTTACTTTGCATATATATGTTTAAGTGTAGCATTTATATTATGCATATAAACATATTATATAGTAGTTTCATCTTAACCTCTCGGCATAAAGTGGTCCGATTTGGTCATTTCATCGTACGCTTCAATGCATAATTCATGGCTTACATATATATATATATATATATATATATTTATAAGAGAGAGAGAGAGAACGGTACTACTATCATTCAAAAATCATTCATCAAAGGTTATGCATCATATGACAATTTGACCGGATTTGTCGTTTGTCACGCTCACGCTAACGCACACACACACACACACAGGGTACAGTCAGTCCATTGTAACAAAAAGATCAAAATCAATTATCTAATTGTTGAGTTGTATAATTATTAATTTGTGTTAGTTGTATAGTATATACTGGGCTTGTTTAGCTTTTGTCTCTTAACGTGTTTTCATCGTTATTATTATTATTATTATTATTATTTTGTGTGTGTGATCATTATCAGTACTTTTATTATCGTTATTTACTATTATTATTATTATTATTATTGCTCCTTTCGTCATAGTTCACCGCATTCAACTGAGATATCAGCTTTATCAGATGGTAGTATCGGTGGATCGTGTCTTTCGAATTCACCACGTTCCTATCGGCAGCGTTACACTGAAGTTCCCCTGTTGATTGAGTAAGTAAATGTGTTTGTGCGTGTGTGTGTGTTTCTTAAGAGTTTGATTTTTTTTTATTCCTTCACGTTCAAGCTAGAGCCAGCTTGAAGTTTCTGTAGCAGTGGTGATTATTTTTACAGGATGGGGTTGCTAGCCGGCCTCATGCCCAACCTTCCCTCTTTGCCAGTTTAATTACTAGCTCTTAGCGAGGTAAAGGAGTGCGTCACGGTGGCCGGGGATCGAACCCCGGACCATGTGCGCATGGTCGGCGAGCGTCTTAACCACCGTGCCATCGACGCCTTTTATTTTTTATTCTATACAACTTGAACTGCTGCATTTTGGTTTTTCCACGGTTCCTCACTGAAGACTCAGTCACATCTTCCTTGGTTGACGATTTGAGAGAGTAAGAAAGAGCAATAATCGAATTAAGAGAGAGAGAGAGTACACAATCTAACCAAAGGTATATAGATGGTTGTGGCGCACTGATATCTAGCCCCTCGGCTTCCAACCACACTGGGCTAGTTAGTTGGAATCTCGTTCTGTCGACCACGTCTCAGGCAGTCATGTAGTATAGAGATAGCTGCTAGTCCTCATACAATAAGAGTGACCCATTAGCAACGTTAGGTGGTATAATAAGGTAAGTAATGTTGACGTTAGGCGTAGAGTGTTGGGCAAAGAGGGAAAATCAATCGACGAGGCCATAAAGTTACATAGATTGAGATGGCTAGGTCACGTGCTGCGCATGCCTAACCATCGCCTCCCCCGACGGACGGGCATTACTAGCAGGCTGATATAGGTGCAGGTTGGAAAAGAGTAAGTGGTGGCCAAACAAAAACATGGCCTCATCAATCCATGAAATCCCTGACAGTTAAACTGAGTCAGGTAGGGAGGGAGATGCAGACTTCCGGGTTGGGGCCCGCCCTCGGGACTCTAAGAATCAATCAAGGCTGGAGACAATAGGTGACATGGCTCAAAATCCTCGTTGTCAATGGCTTACGCAGATGTATTCAGTCTCTGTAATCTTTCATATTCCTTTCTACCATTACTCATTCTGTTTCACTCTTATACTTGTCAAAACTCCATTGATTCTCTTCACTCATTTTCTTGTCTACCTTTGTGTGTTATTTGGAACGTGGCAACTCGAACTGTTGCACTTCGGTGCCAAGTTCTATTGTTAAATCCAGACAGAGATTAGCAACTGCATTAAAATACAAATGGTTAATGAGTTAGTTAGGAACAAATTAAGCATTAGATATCAGGCCTATCAGTCAAGCTTATTGTATAACGACTGATAATATTCCCTAATTGCTCAGGCTAAAGTAAGTAATTCAAGTGGGTGGTTGTTGAGCAACATATTTTCATTTTCTTCAAAGGAAGAACTACAGAATACATGCGCAACACAACCGATTAGATACGCACATATTCCTTAAGAGGATTGGAGCTGTTATCAAAACAATAGGAGATTGTTTCTTTGGAATTGTTACTGATGTATTTCTCTTGATCATTTTGTAAAGGGAAAGTCATTTACATTTACAGTGGAGTTAATTTGAATTTTCACGCATTTCTTCGTTTTACCCTGAGGTTTACTTTTCAGCATAGTATTTATCCAAAAATATTTTCAGGTTTAAACGCGAACTGACATCAGGAGGTACTGTTTTGTCTTTGTTTGCAGTACTTCTGTAGTAAACGCACTCATAACCCCACTGAGAGAGTGGGGCGGGTTGGACACAGAACATTCAAGGTGATGAAGCGACCCCGTTGACTTTTCTGTCATTAAGATGAAATCCAATTGATCATGAATTCGATATATAGTGTGCTGCTTCAAGCCAGTTTTATTGGCCAGTATCTGTCGTCAAACTCAACTTGGGGGATGCTCACTGGTCACCATTTCTCATTAGAATGACAGTCAGTTTGTCGGGGGCATCGGACTAATTTTCAAGTTTTGGTTTGTAGAGATTTGATTGACTTCAAGTGAGATTACGAACTGACTTAGGTATGAGAACAATTCAAAACCGAGAGAGAGAAAGAGAGAGTACTAGACAAGTGTTTCGATCTGTTTCGCGACTCTTCAGCGGTAACTGATTGACTGATTAGTCTCATCATAAAACTTTGTGCGAAATTGCAGCAGTTCGAGCTGTCACACGTAGCACACAAAGCAAGACAAAAAAGAGATTCGAAATAACGATAATAAGTAGAAATAGGAGTGAGGGAAAAAGAATAGTACCGTGTAAAACGTTAGGGTTTTGTTGCGGATATCATTGGAAGATCACAAAGAGCGGATGCATCTGCGCCAGCCATTGAGAACGGTCACTTTGAGCCACTTTTCTCCAGATGTCTCCAGCCATTGTTTCTTAGAATCTCAAGGACCCGAACCAGGAAGGAAAAACGAATTCATATATTTTTAGCCACATTTAAATTCGGCTAGGTCAGTGGACAGTAAATTGTTCTGATTGGTTGGTGACTGGCCCAAGGCTAAACAAGTTGTCCCATGAGGTTATTTCATGTCCACAACGTAAACTCTACAGCCATTGACTTAAAATGTTGGTTTCAGTTTTGGCTGACTTTTGTCAATCTGTGTCACACCACAGCCAATTCAATCGATGTAGCTTCACAACCTCATCGATGAACTTTCCCTCCTTCAGTAATACTCGAAACCTAACTTCAGTATCGGTCAGTCTATTATACTACCTATCAGGGTAGATAAGATGGAGATATCTGTGATCAAAGACAGCTAATGTCTTCGTATCTCCCACTTTTGGTGGTCATTTCTCACTGTGATAAAGGAGGATGTAGCGAACTTCTGAGCAATACATACGTCATTTGTTCATTAGCCAGCCTAATTTCACGTCTATGCCAGAGATGATGGCGCCTTCCTCTATGGGAAATGTCAGCTGACATAGGACTGATCAGGTTGGAAAAGGGAGAACTTGTGGTAGTCAAACTAAAACATGGCCTCATCAGTCAATGAAATCCATAACAATTAGTTTAAGTCGCCCGGCCACGTAGGGAGGTGTACAATAGCTTCCTGACTGGTTGGGGTCCTCGGGATGGTAAACACCAATGAAGGCTAGACACAATTGGTAATATGTCTCAAAATGGTAGTTCTCAATGTCTGACAGAGATGGATTTACTCTTTGTGATTTACCTGTCATATGGAATAAAACTATTCTTCCACACTAATATTCTTTTCCCTCACTCACACTTCTGTTTATTATCTCTCTTTTGAATTTCTCTTTTCCTTCTTTACTCTCTTTTCTTGCTTTGTGTGCTATACGGGGAGAGAGAGAGTGGGAAGTGGAACTTCTGCGCACACTTGTGCAAAGTTTTATATGTTAAAACCAGTCAGTAGTCAGTTTACCAAATGCTACACACGAGACTTCTATATCCTAGGAATTATTAAAAAGGCTATTGCAGCGAAGAAAATTTTTTCCTTTTGACGAAGTCATCAACTACACTGTACATTCGTGTCGATGGCTTCGTCGAAAAGAAACTTTTCTTCGCTGCAATCGTCTTTTTAATAATTCCTATGATCCAATGTGTTTTATATTCCGTGATTTCTATATCCGTGCTGACATTTCATCAATAAACATCCCATCGTGGCTCTTCAGCCCAACTCTCCTACACACCCATGAAACCCAGCAAAGACCAACATTCAGGTAGGTAGTTAACTGGGGTTCTAGTGGGAAGTTGTGATCAGTAGTGTGCAGCAGGTCGGGTGAGTATGGGGACAAATACTCGCTGAAGACATTGACTAGTAATTGCGCTATATCGTGAATTGGCAGAAGTTAGAATTCATGGGCTTGGCCATTGGATCAGGTCCCAGTGGCTTAATGGTCTACGAGCCAGCTCGCTAGCCTTGTAACCAGAAGGTCCTGGGTTCGAATCCCATTGGTGTGGGTGCGTACTGATGAAGAGTCCCAAACTAGGACGAAACAGCTGTCCAGTACTCCCAGGTTTTCCAGCTCATGATGAAATCCTCCAATCAATCAACCAAATGCCTACAAACCAATACTTGAATACCAACCAACATTTTAAGTTAGAATTGTTATTTCATCATGCCATGAATCTGAAATTTGTCTAATATCATAAAACCAAAATGGCTGGCCAGAAGGAAAAGAAAAGCAGAAGGAGTAGGGGGATATAATTATCCGCTATTCTATTATTATTATTATTATATTATTATTATTATTTTCCCTCTTTTCTTTCTGTAAACGGCTTATTTAGTTTCTTTTTTGTGCAGTTATTTTTATTATTCTTTTTTTTAAAAACAACTCTAGATAAACCTTTGTTGTTGTTGTTTTCTTTTTAAACAACATTTAAGCACATCTCTTCATTCATTATCATGATTATCCTTATCACATAATTTTATTTCTGGCTATTACGTAGAAGTGCATATGATTATTATGATAATGATGATCAATTATCACATGCCTTTCATCATTTAAGGCGCTAATCTCTTTTTGTTATTATTATTATCATCATTATGTTGTGTTGTATATTTGCTTTTATTATAAATCTACTTCATTTATCCATTAAGAAAATGCATGATTTAATGAATATAAGTATAAAACTTGAGCACTGTGGTGATGGTAGAGTATATAACTCCATTATATCGATAAGATTTTATTTTGATAAAGTCTCACAGTAGTGTTTGTTGTGTTATACAGTACAGTAATATTAACTGATGACCACACGCTTCGAACACAAATTATGGCCACTCATAATCATATCAAGGCACCACTCACACAACTTTTTTCCTTCATTTATATACATGTGTGGAATTGACTAGATATTTGAATAAAAATCAATATAGGATAATGTACATTCAGAAATAATAATATGAGTGTTATTGATCAATTACAATCAGATGGGAAATAAGACGAGTGTTTTTATAGTCAAAATAAGTAACTTGTTAGAATGTTGTGATGTGCTTGAATTGAAATAGAATTTTAAGATTATTTATTATCCTCTTCTGATTTGACTGACTGGTGGTAATAATATCTTCCATATCTGTGGTATTTGCATTGAGTCATTTCTGTTGCATGTGTTGTGTTGGGTGTAGACTCAATGAACCAGGTAGGATTCAGTAATCAATCTCTCTCTCTCCACCTACTTATATTACTTCTTAGAATTTTAACCCTCTCCCACCATGCTATTGTGTGGTTGTGTGTTAATGCATGCAGTGCAATTGCTGAGCTTTTTCCTAAATTACTTATCTTCTCGAGGTCAACCATTCTTACCTTAGCTAAATTCTTATGTTCCGACAATCTGATTACCCCCGATCTACTAGTTTGACCTATATAGTTGACCTCAAAGTCATTGCAGGGTATTTTGTAAATTATATTATTTTTCCTAATTGGGTCCACCGGGTCTTTTAGCCTACAGAGCTTGTCCTACCTGAGTGAGTTTGTAGGTTTGAATGCACCACCCTAATTCCTGCTTTATTAAGAATCCTACGTAGAGAGGGTCTCAGATGTCCCCTCCTTATATGGTATAACAGCAGATGACTTATATTCTCTCTTATTTATGTTATCATTATTAGTTTCACTACTATTTTTATTTTGCTTTTGACCTTTTTTGATATTCCTAATGAATTTTATAGGATATTAGTTATTTAACACCAATCAGCTATTCTATCAGTTTTATTTCATCATTTAGGTCTTTTTTGTGCTACTTAGTGCTATTGCTCGGTTTGTTAGACACTTAACTAAGCCTGCCTTAACAGACAATGACGGATGAGATGAATTAAAGTCTAAATATCTATTAGAATGCGTTGGTTTTTTATAAACGCTAGTGTGTAGTTTACCTTCTTCTATTCGTTTTATTTTACAATCTAACATCACAGCTAATTCTCCTTGTTTATTTTCTGATTCAAATGTGAATTTTATTCCCTTCACTAGTGAGTTTATGTGTGTGAAGAAGCTAGAGATATGTTCTGTTTTCAACACTGTATGTGAAAGTGCTATCCACATATCTCCACCATATTTTTCGAGTAGGATTAAATGTATTGAGAGCCACATTTTCCCAGCTATTCATAAATATATCTGCTACGATGAGGGATATTGGTGATCCATTCCATTGCTACACCTTCTGTTTGTTTATATATTTCGCCCCGGAATTTAAAGATAGTAGACGTGTGTACTACTCAGCAGTTCGCTCCGTCCTTCTCTATGGCTCTGAAACATGGCCAATACGAGTTGGAGACATGAAAAGGTTGACTGTTTTTGATCATAGATGTCTACGATCTCTTTCTCACGTTAGGTGGCATAATAAGGTAAGTAATGTTGACGTTAGGCGTAGAGTGTTGGGCAAAGAGGGAAAATCAATCGACGAGGCTATGAAGTTACGTAGATTGAGATGGCTAGGTCACGTGCTGTGCATGCCTAACCATCGCCTCCCCCGACGACGGGCATTACTAGCAGGTTGATATAGGTGCAGGTTGGAAAAGAGTAAGTGGTGGCCAAACAAAAACATGGCCTCATCAATCCATGAAATCCTTGACAGTTAAACTGAGTCAGGTAGGGAAGGAGATGCAGACTTCCGGGTTGGGGCCCACCCTCGGGACTCTAAGAATCAATGGCTGGAGACAATAGGTGACATGGCTCAAAATCCTCGTTGTCAATGGCTTACGCAGATGTATTCAGTCTCTGTAATCTTTCATATTCCTTTCTACCATTACTCATTCTGTTTCACTCTTATACTTGTCAAAACTCTATTGATTCTCTTCACTCATCTCTTCTTGTCTACCTTTGTGTGGTATTTGGAACGTGGCAACTCGAACTGTTGCACTTCAGTGCCAAGTTCTATGTTGAATGCAGACAGACAGATAGACAGATGTGAGGGAGCATAACTGAATTCCTAAAATAATTTCTTCAATGGGCAGCTTTGTCCTATGAGTGAGTTCAGGTTCTGCAGTTAGTCCTTTTCTAACTGTATCGTCAGTTAATATTATTGTGTAATACTGTATGACTTATCAAAATAAAATCTTATCTATAATGGATGCATGATTTAAGTTTATTTCTCACTCACTCACTCACTCACTCACTCACTCACTCACTCACTCACTCACTCACTCACTCACTCACTCACTCACTTACTCTCGTTAGCTTGTTTTATCTAATATTTTCTCTCTCTTTTTTTAATGAATCTTTTAAAGAAAATACTTTGATGGTGACGAAGAATTGTGCAGTTGTTTACCAACCGAGATTATTCCTGGTTATAATATGAACTCCTCCTCCTCCTAGTAATAGTTCCATGCTACTAATAGCAGCAGTCGATATTCTGCTTCATTGACGACAACAACATCTCCCGGGAGAAGTAATACTGGTTCAACAACAACATACACCAACACAGATCATCATCATCATAATGTAAAGACAACATCCCCTTCCTCCTCCGGCTCTTCATCATTATCTTCATCCTATTTACGTATCAGTTCACAATCTGTAGATCGGTCATCAAAACAGATGTATGCATCACAAACACGTGGTGGTGGGGGTGGTCACCAAGAGATGGCTCCATCAGCAACATCGTCAATAACATCAAAATCGATTGATGTATGTAATCTATCCAGTTTGATCGATAATAGTAATAATCATCATATGCTATCATCATCTTCATCGTTATCAGGATTTCATACAGATACTGATCGGCATCATCAACAGCAACAGCAACACAATTCGGATTCACTTCATCATCGATCTGCCTATCAAACATTTGTAAATCACTCATTGATATCTGCAACAGTCTCTGATATCTATCATACAGGACATGTGTTACAAGCGACAATTGAATCACCGGATAGTTTCAGATCACGTTTAGAAGAGAATTTAATCCAGTGGCTTACATATGGTCCATTGGTTGTAAGCGATTTCAACAGTCTATCGTTGATGAACAATAATAGTAATAATAGTAATAATGTTAAAATAGTGCCTGAAGCCTATTCTGGACAACCTACTCCATCATCATCATCATCATCGTCATCATCGTTTAAATCGAATCATTCACATGCAAGGATGAGCAGTCGTCAATTTAAGCATCCAAAATGGTCAGCTACCGCTTTGCTGATTAACTGTGATACGAAAAGTGTTGAGGTGAGTTCCGCATACATACGCGCTTATTATATGTAGTTATTCTGTTTTCTTGCCAGGTTGTCATATTTTCTGCTTTTTCAAATGTGTGCAATATATATATATATATATATATATATATATGGAAAACCTGGGAGTACTGGACAAGCTGTTTGTTTCATCCTAGTTTGGGCGCATTAGATCAGGTACCAGTGTAGCTCCGAATAGTCTACGAGCTCGCTTCGTAACCGGAAGGTGTCCTGGGTTCGAACCCTGGTGGTGGGTGTGTACTGCTTGCGCTCATGAGTCCCAAACTAGGACCATGCAAGATGATGTTACAGGATGGGACTACACCGACTCCTAGATTATGAAATAGGAAGTGAAGTGGTAGAGCACGTTGACCGCTTCACTTACTTGGGAAGTACCATCAGCCAGTACCAGCGGGTTGATCTCTGACGAAATCTCAGGATGGATACAGAAGGCTAGTTTCGCATATGCCAGTTTACGCCGTCTCTGGCGTAGACGTGATATCCAGCTGGCTGTCGACCAAAGGGCGTGTGTACTGCTCAACAGTCCGCTCCGTCCTCCTTTATGGCTGTGAGACCTGGCCATTGAGAGCGGAAGACATGAAAAGATTAGCTGTCTTTGATCATAGGTGTCTGCGTTCTATCTCCCGTGTGAAGTGGTATAATAAGGTGAGCAATATTGAGGTTAGGCGTCGAGTGCTAGGTATGGAGGGGAAATCAGTAGACGAGGCTGTGAAATTACATCGACTGAGATGGTTGGGACATGTGTTAAGTATGCCTAGTCATCGCCTTCCTCGACAGGGCAATGTTAGCTGACATAGGGTCAGGCTGGAAAAGAGCTAGCGGCGGTCAAACCAAAACATGGCATCAGTCAATGAAATCCACAACAGTTAGTCTAGGCCACGTAGGAAGGTGTAGACTTCCTGGTTGGGGTCCTCGGGACGGTAAAAACCAATGGTTGGAAACAATTGGTGACATGGCTCAAAATCGTTCTCAATGGCGCAGATGCATCCACTCCTTGTGACTTATGATTTCCAATTAAACTGTTTTGTTCTTCGTTATTACTACTCCTTTGTCTCACACCTCTGTTTACTGTCTATATTATGCATTTCTTCTACTTTCTTCTCTTGCTCTGTGTGCTACATGGGGGGGAGTGTGGCGACTTGAACTGCCGCACATATGTGCAAAGTTCTATGTTGAAAACAGACAGACAGACAAACTAGGACCATAGAAACAGCTGTCCAGTATTCCCTGGCTGGTTTTCCAATGGTTCTCTAACCGATATCAGCTCATAATGAAACAGGCAGTAGTTCGTATTCTCACTTTGTTCTGCTGGTGAACGAGCAACTGAATTGTGAATGACATTTTAATGTCTTCAGTAACGTCGTCTAATTTCTTCTCATTTTTTGTTCATTGAGACATTTCCGTTGACATGCGAAGTTTTGTAGTAGCTGTATCTAACTATAAAGGATTTATAAATATCTTTTGAAGGAATGTAAAGTGCTTCTTTTTTATTGTGTTGTTTGTTAAGAAAAGGTTTTGGTGCACATTTTACGTGTTCAATTCACCCCTTTTATAAGTGGTCTGTATAGTATAATACTGCCACTCACGCACTTTTCGTCTCTCTTTTCAATTGTTTGAATAATGACTAAGTGCAGGTAGTGGAAAGTAGTAGGGGAGAGCTCGTGCACGTGCACGTACACGAGCGCGCGTGTGTGTGTGTTTGTGATTGACTTTTGTGTTGTGTAAGTCAGCTACCTTCAATTCCATATTTCAGACTAAGATTTCTCAGTCTGTGTGTAAGTTATTAATTACCTTAATTACACACGAATGGCTATATTAGACATCTTTATTATAAATACACAGACAGATAGATAGACAGACAGACAGGCTTTACCTTCTGTGTATACTTAGTAATATCTCTTGTAACTGTCACTCACATCAAGAAACTTAGCAAACAATACATGAAGTATTTGACTGTCGATTTCACTTATGTGGGGTGAGGGGGCGGGTGTAGACTGTCTAGTGTGGTTCTTTTGAGAAGTTAAGAACCAGAGCTTGGAGATTATTGGTGACACAGCTCAAAATCATTCACAGTGACGCAGATGTATGTATTCACACTTTATGAGCTCCCAGTTTCATTAAATCATGATTATTCTCTATGTAATTATTTTTTTACCCTCGTGCTTTTCGGTGTTTCTCACTCTTTTTCTGCATTTTTCCTGCGTTTATGTGTGTTTTTGTATATAGTATAGTAAGTTGAACCACTGCACTTCTCTAAGAGGTATATATTTAACAAAATTCAGTTCACATTAGATTTATTGCGTAATCTAAGGGATGTATGCAAATCCATGTGATGTACAGATTTAATTCCCGGCCGGTGGATGCACTGGTAAATCTCGCTTAGCCAGCAGCAAGCTGTAGTAGTAGGTAAAGTTGGATGCCAGGCTATCAAAGCCCCAAGCTTAAAGTCCTAGGCATCACTTGGGATGAAAACCAATGGAGGAAACACAGCAGGAGGGGGAAAATTCTGGGAGTTGAATTTGTAAAATCACTATCACAGACTCAGAAAGAGGCATTTTTGAAACTGTTTCTAAATACCAGCTCTGATATCCTATTCCTTATATTTGAAAGTAATAAATGCCGGGAAAATTTGCATGTCATTAGCATATTTTGTAAGGCGGTATGGTATTCATATTTCCTAGCTTCTTCAGTGTTTTGTACGATGGCTTTGTGTGGCTTCCTTGTAAGTTATACGCATTTTCCTAAAGTCTCATTTGTCTGTCTGCTTTCATGTTAGAAAGTTGCCTGTATATTGAAACAGGTGGTAGTATCTTGATTTCTTGAACTTGTCGTTCTGCATTCTCCGGAGGAGGTGGTGGATGTAACAGTCACAAATATATAAACGCCCATGTCTTTGTTTTCTGTTAGTTCGAAGGCTGAATATTTTATTTGGATTATTATTTTAACGTATGGATTTATTTGTGCAGTTCGTATGTAAATACTTGAAGATTGCAACATATATTATTATTATTATTCCCTGGGGTTTCGAGTGGAACATAGGGCTTCATCGGCATGCGTTCATTTCTGCAGTCTGTTTTAGCTGACTTCACGATATGCCCATAAGCTTTCATTTCCTCTTCACATGGTCTCCTATGGCCCACGCCAAATTGATGTTATCTTATTTGGTTTCCACTCTAGAGCCTGGTATGTTGTAATTTCACTCAATCGTCTTCTGTGAGTATATCTAATCCATCGCCATTTCCTCTGGCATATTTGTTGAGCAATAGGTTTTTATTAATTGATTGGAAACATTTATTTCCTGATACCGATTTAAAACAAGCAACAGAATTTAATAAAGCAGGAGTTAATGATTCCATATTAGTTTGTTTATTTGATGTATTACACAATGAAGAAACAGTATTATTTACTGGATGACAATGTTTCGAACAAAATTCATCATCGTTCATAATCATTCCAATCAATTATAATCACACGACTTCGAAACTTGAGTTTCACAGTTTTCTTTGTTCTCTCCTATTTGTCGTCGTTGGGGTAGTAAAATTTTCCAGATATCTGGGACAGGTGCTGAATCATTCTATTTACACATATTAGCAGCTGATTTGATTAACAAAGCTTCTGTTATCAATCTCTCCCTCCACCCTGCTGTTACATTAGATTTTAAAACTGTAATCTTATCCCATCCAAGCCTATTGTATGGTTGTGAGTGCTATCTACAGCTGTACTATTCTTTAGATTTATCTTATTCCGGTCAACTAATCTACATTTTACTGCTGGGATTTTATGCTCGACTAGTCTGACTGCCCCTGTTCTACTACTTTGACCCATGTATTTGACCTGACAATCATCGCAGACAGGATATTAGATAAACTGAATGGTTTGTGTTAAAGGCTCCACAGGATTGATCCTTTAATCGACAAAGCTTGTTTGTGATAGAGTTTGTGGGTTTGAATGCCAGCCACTTTTATTAGTGCCTTGTCAAGAATCACATGAAAAAGAGGTAAGACGGGGGCAATAAGACTAGTGGCTTTCAGTAACCTTGCAAAGTGCAGATCAGTTGATCCTAATAAGATAAGAAATCTAGAAAAACAACAATCACGTGCAATTACACGCAGTCATGCAATAGGATGGATAAGATGACATTTATAAAATCTAATATGACAGGGTGGAGAGGAGACATTGATATTATTATTATTGTTGTTCCCTTGGGTTCCTAGTGGAACATAGGGCTTCAACTGCACGTCTCCACTTGCTTCTGTCTTTTGCTGTACTTGGACGTCCCACTCGCCGCTTCCCTTCCGGGTTCCATTCGAGGGCCTGACGCGTGATGTCACCCAGCGGCCTCCTCAGCGAGTGTCCAATCCATCTCCACTTTCTCCTGCATATTTGTTGGGCGACTGCTTCTTGTTTTGTTTGTTCCCATAGTTTCATGTTGGTGATTCTTTCCGGCCATCTGATCTTCAGTAGTATAGAACGAAGGCAGTTGTTGATAAAGGTCTGCAACAGGCTGTTGGAAATATTCTTTGTGACCCACCAACTTTCTGATTCGTATAGAAGAACTGACTGACTTGACGTTTGTATTGAACATCCGAATTTTGTTGTTAATGCAGGCTGAGTGACGAAGATTTCCAGATTAGTTTCAGGTTGATGAATGTGTTTCTCGCCTTCCCGATTCTCGATTTGACATCCTCGTCCGTTCCTCCTGTAGTTGAGACAATGCTCCCTAGATAAGTGAATGAAGTAACCTCTTTCAAATCCCTCCCATTGATGGCGATTGGCGCTGGATGTTGCTGCTGTTGTTGTTGGTTGGTTGGTCATTTTCATAACCTCCGTCTTGTCTGTGTTCACCTTGAGTCCTGTCTTCTCTGGCTGCTTCTTCGACCAGTTTGTCGGTTTTCGCTTGTAAGTCTTCGATTTTGTGTGACATCAAACATAAATCATCTGCGAAATCCAGGTCTTCTAGGTTCTTCACGTCGG